TGACCGATCAGTCCTGCAACAAGCGCTGGCAGTGGAATAGGCCAGTGAACGTTAAACGCCACCATGTCGATGTCAGTGACATGTCCTCTACTCCATGAAGCTTGTCTGACCAAGAAACTTGCTTCTTCCTGTTTCAGCAGGTCGGACCCAAGTTCCACGACCAAACGTCCCAACCATACAGCTAGAGTTTCTTCAGGTTGGATTCTTGATTCTCTGCACAAATCCTGCAGTTCAGTTCTGGTGCGAGCGTAATAGGTAGTAGCGCGAATTACACTCTGGACTGATGACTCGACTGGTTGTTGCTACAGGCTGATCTGTTACTTCGGGAGTCATTGCTGCTGTTATTGTTTCAGGCAGGAGGGGCGGATGCACTCCTCCGCTCGATTCTCCCTTCTGTCGGCAAGAAGGCGCGGTCGCCGGAAGCAATGCTGCGTCAGTGGGCGGGGTCGCCGGCCGAACTCTCGAGAGTTCCTCCGAAGCTCCACCCTTCTCTTCCGGTTCTTCCACGCGGTCTCCCTCTTGCTCGGCGCCATCTTGGAATGGCGTCTGAAGATTTTCTTTTGCAGCTGCCTCTTTGACCACTTGAATGGCCATACGCAGCTGGGCTTTCAAACTTAAATTTTTCTGCATTAGATCAGTTACTGTACGGAAAGTTGCAGTTAACATTCCCCCCTTGTCGTATCTCGGGGTTACCCTCTCATCTGCGGCGCGTTCCTCCGTCTCCAAATCTTTGCAGAGCTCGGATGGAAGCTCGCGACTCCTCAATCTAGACGCTAGCATAAAGGGGGCGAACCGGTCAATCGGCACAGGTTCTTCAATCTCCCGAGCACATCTTAGGCAACGGGCACACTCCCGGGTGAGGGTCGGGTTTACTGCGCCTGCCGGGCTGAGTCTGGCGAGGGACACAGTGTCGAGGGGCCTAAACAGGACCCGCTCATCATTCATTATACACCCGAATGCCGCGGGGTGAAGATACACTTACCTCTCTCTTGGGGCTCCGTCTTCGGAAGCTCCCTCTTCTCCCTTCAGCGAAAGGCGCCCGCTGATAAACCTGTCACCCGTTCCGCCCGCCTGGTGGTAAGCGATATGCACCTCCAGTTCCACGACGCTTGCTACGTCGTGTTTCCCACTTCGCCAAGGGCAGTTCTCAACTAATTCTAGTTCTGTCGTGCTTTCCCCGTATCCCATCCTCGTCGCCATGTCGGGGCCGAGGGGCTGTGGCCAGCAGCCCAGGCACGTGGGCTGGGGAAAAGGTCGGCACGACAACTAGAATTAGGCAGTGACGCGTAGAGGTTGATTAAAGATTGTTTTACTTACACCGTAGGTGTTCGCGGTGCAGGCAGGAAAAACTTTCTTGAGTTGCAGTTACAGACAAACACAAGCGGAGTTTGCTAGGCTCCACTGAAGACACACGAGCGGAGTTTGCTAGGCTCCGCTAAACGAACACGAACAGAGCTCTGGATACCACTCACGGAGTTTGCTAGGCTCCGTGGAACAACTGAAATGAGAGTCCGAAAGGTGACTCTCCACGAGCGCGCAGGGTGGGGTACGTCGAGGGATCGTGTGGTGACGGGGAGAGGCTAGAGGTTGATCAGGCCCCTGTATCCTCCTCTAAGGCACACGCGGAGTTTGTTAGGCTCCACAGCGCGCTTAGAGTTCTTCACGAGATGGATGTGAAGTCCTCCAACTTGGGTGGAAACTGCTCAAGCCTCTTATATGGCTAGCAAGCCAATCGCTAGCTGCCACGTGGGAATAATTTAGAAACAGCCAATAGTGGGAAACAAATTTACATACGGGTGGCGGGATCTCCTTTGCACCGGGGTTTTCTCTATGCAACTGAGAATTGCACCGTGCAAAGAAAGCTCCATGTGGCGGGAAATAATTCTGCAGTGCCGAAGCGCGCACACAAAATCATACCCTTTGGGTCATGACAGGAGGGTAGTAAAACATTGGAACAGGTTACCCAGAGAGATGGAATCTCCAGCCTTGGAGGTGTTTGAAACCTGATTAGATAAAGCCTTGGGTGTGATGATCTAGTTGGGGATTATCCTGCTTTGAGCAGGGGGTTGGATTAGATGACCTGAGGTCCATTCCAACTCTAATTTTCTATGATTCTGTTGTGTCTTATTTTTGCAGGCTGGTGCCTATGAACAGGTGGACTGGTGCCCTGAATGCACCACTGAAATCCCTGATGCCCAGGAGATGAAGGAGTGGATGACTGTGGGGAAGGTATTTCTCTGAGAAAGCAGAGTCCTGTTCCTTCCCCTTTTGCTTAGCCTGGTGACAGTCAGTCTTGAGTTACCAGGGCTCTTATTTGTCACTAAAGAGTTGTGGAGAACTATGGGCACTGTAGAGATGAGGGCCAGATAAGTGCCTACACAGATCAATCCCAGCCTGGTGTCCCACATGGCACTAGCATGTTGAGCTCTCCCATTTTGCTGTTCTGAATTGCAATCACTGGTGCAGAGGGCACTAGGCAGCCTCAGGGTTTTACTCCACTTTGTGTTGTGGTTTGGGTCTCTACTGACACAATAAGTTTTTTCTCCCTGATCTGTTGCTCTTCAGAGGGTTGAAGAGGGAGAAAGACCATCCAGGGCTGTGTGTGCTGCCCTTGGTTAGGGCAGGCAGCATGGGGAGTGTGCCTGTGATCCACATACCGCTCACCCTGAGGGGAAAGTGGGATTTCCACATGATGTTACTTACAGCTCCAGCCTCTTGCTTCTCAAGTTGCTGGCTTCACCCATCATTCCTGTGAGTTCTGGGAAGTACCTCACAGAAGCATCTGGGACAGAGTTGGCTAATTGCTGTGTGTTCTCATTGCCCCTGCTGTAGCGGAAGATGGTGATTGAAGATGAGACAGAATTCTGTAATGATGAGCTTCTACAGCATGTCCTGCAGTGCAAGGTGAGTTCCCTCCTCCAGGGGCCAACGTAAGAGTTCGGGGAGGCAAGAGCAGCTAAGAGCATGTTCAAGGAACAGGACAGCTTATTTAGGCAGTTGGCCAAGAAATCTTTCACCTTTTGGTTGCCAGTGCAGGTTGAGACTAGGTAGAGAACAATGGAAGTTGTTACTGTCTGGCTATTTGGCAGCCAGTGTGACATGATAAATGTCCACATCTCAAAAAACATGGAGATGAGTGATACCAAAGGCACCTTCATTGGCAGTTGCAGCAGAAAGTCTGGAGACTGAGTGAGCTGTGGAGAAAAACTCTCCTTTTCTTTGTTTTGCCCTTCAGTCTCCCAGTCTTGCTTCTCTACTTCAGGGCTGCTGTGTAGTGGTGGTGACCAGAGAAGAGCTTGTGCTGTGATGACCATCTAGCCAAACAGAACTTCTGGCTCTGGGGTTGCCAATCCAGCACTTCTGTAGTTTAGCTCATTGTAAAAATTGAGCACAACTTGGGACAAGTGCAAGGTATAGGTAGATGGCTGAATGATTACACCAGTTTCAAGAAATGTCCTTACATTGGTGTAGCCTAGTCATGATGGGGTCTAGAGATACATGCATAAGGAGGCACCATTCCTAATTGAGAGGTTGGGAAGTGCTCCAGCCAGTTGATCTGCCCACTTGTCCATGCTATAGCTGACTCCATTTTGTTTCTGCCTCTGCAGAGCGTGTTTGATGAGTTGGATGGGGATGAGATGCGCCGGGCCAGGACAAGGTCCAACCCCTACGAGATGATCCGCGGGGTCTTCTTCCTGAACAGGTCTGCAGAGCATCTCGGCTTGTAGCCTCTTTCTCCTTCAGGCATAGTAGTTTTGCCAACCTGGAGTGGACTCATATCCCTGTTTGTGTGTTCACAGAGCTGCGATGAAGATGGCAAATATGGACTATGTCTTTGACAACATGTTTACAAACCCAAAAGACTTTCATGGGGTAAGGAGTCTCTCTCATTTCCAATCAGGGATGCCTTCCCAGTGGTGAGAGGGAATCCCGTAGGCACCAGCAAGGATGTGGATGCTTTCAAGGTGGCAGAGATCCCAGCTGAGAGGGGCTGTATTAGTGGGTTTGCTCAATGTCGGCAGTGGCTCTTGGGCCATTAGAATTGTCCCCATTCTCTTTGCAGAAACCCTTGATAAAAGAACGGGATGCAGAGCTGCTTTACTTTGCTGATGTGTGTGCGGGCCCTGGTGGCTTCTCTGAGTACGTTCTGTGGAGGAGGAAGTGGCATGCAAAAGGATTCGGCATGACCTTGAAAGGACCAAATGACTTTAAGCTGGAGGATTTCTATTCCGCCTCCAGCGAGCTCTTTGAGCCTTACTATGGTACGCATGGGTATGTGGTGGTGTTGCCTTCGCTACAGAGGTTCTGCCTCCAGGCCAGTCATATGTTCTATATGTGGGGAAGGGATATGGCCTGTTAGGAGTTGGAGATCACAGAGACATCTGATCACAATAACCATTTCAGAGCCATCCTGATGGTGATAGAGGTGCTGTTGTATAAAAAAGGGGTCAAGGTTATAAAGCCTGCATGGCAGGTCATATTCCTGCAGTTCTGAGTGCAGCCTGCCACTGAGTGTACATGCACTTGAGTCCTTCCAGATGGGGGAATCTGAGACAGAAGTTGTTCATGGATTAATTGACAGAGCCAGCAACAGAAAGACAGCTTGCCTGATTTGCAGCCCTTCTGCATTAACATTTAGGCTGTTTCTTTTCTGGACCTTGCCAGCACATCTGAGGATTTTTAATTGGTTTGGACACGAAATTAGAATGGGGGGGGGCACCAGCACCTCCCTCCCCCTTTGCATTTTATTGCAGCATTAGGTAAGGCAATGTAAATATGATTGGTGTTGTAACCAAGGACATAACCTGTCTGCCTTTCCAGCCTGAAACCCAGGGCAACTTGTTGTTCATGCCAGTAGTCTGACTGGTTTGGAAAGCTCTTGACATCCAACCATGAATTTATGGTGTGTGCCTGACACCTTTGGATCAGATCAGATAAAAAGAGTTCTCAGTGGGCAGCTAGGTGGATAAACACTTTATAAGGACTGTAGCACTTGGATCTTCATATCTCATCCCATGGCAATGCTCTTGTGGAAAGTTGTGGATACCTGTGAGAATGAATAGGCCAATGACTTTGATGCATTCTCCTGTTTCCCTTTCTCTCTGCGTCTAATGTGCTATAAAATATATTGAGATTCGTACAAACTTCTCTCCCAGCGAAGGGAAGGAAACAAACTGCCTTAGTTCTCATGCCAAGTGCGAAGAAGAATGGTAACAAATTCCAGTCCAGTTCCACTCAGCAGCAGGGTAATGGATGAGGAATTTATTTCTCAAAGCACCGTCAGACGCTCTGATTGCTGCTGCTTTTTGCTTGATATAGTATACCTTTCTAGTCACCCTGTTGAGTTAATAGAAGCTGTAAATGTGGAAACTCTGCAGAGAACAGAACCTCAAAATATATTCAGATTTCACAGGATTCTGAGTACATCATCTGCGGTCTAGTGCAGGCAGATCTTAAAAAATCAGCTGTGGGAAGATTTGCGTCTTACCTTTTAAAAGAGCCACCAAAAGAATCTGTAAAATATTCCCTTGAAGTAATAACAGCTCAGCTACTGAACATTTCTTCTCCCTTTATAGCGGATTGCTAAACAAACTTTCACACAAGCAGGTTCTTTAAGGCCCAGACTATGTTTAGTGTGGAAGTAATAGTAACACCATTCCTGAGAACTCTGATCATGGTTTTTAGTGGAAAGTTGCTAATCAAGATTTGCTGGCCAGTGTAGACACACTTATTCTGCTTGTGAAAACTGGCCACCAAACTGTGCCATAGATTAAGGTACCATCTACACTGACATTTATACTCAGTAGTGTAATGAAGGGGAACGCCACTGAGGAACCAGCCCTGGATGCGGACTTGGATAGGGCGGTGCTGCTGGCCTGGCAGTGAAGTCATTGATGCTGCCCTGGGCACTAAAGAGCCCAGTTACGCTTTTTTATGCTGTAAAAACTGGTGAGGATCAACTCTGAATGTGATCAGGCAAAAGAGTTCAATTGCTTCAAAAGCAGTGTGAGCGTAGGCAGCTGTAGCTGAGGGCCAGGTTCACTGCACACTGGTGCAGCAGCCTAGGCAGCCTGGACTCCATGGAGCCATTCTGGATGCCTCATTTGTTCTCCTTCTTATCCACTCCTCCTCCAACACTTCCCCTCAGCAAAGCCTCCTGGCAGGAGTGTGTTCCACTCACCTCGCTTACCCCCTTCCCCAACAGATACATTCCAGAGCATGGGGCTGCAGCTGCCCATTTCCTATGGCCAGGTTGCCCCTGCTGTGGGAAAGACTCCTGGTGGGGAGGGTGGCATGCTGGCACCTCCTCCAAGTTGGCACCTAGGGCTGATGCCCAGCTCATCCTGCCCTACTTACACTGCTGCTGAGTAGTAAGGTCCCCTTCCTCCCAACACACTTCAAAGTGGTATAATGCTGTAGGTCTGTCCATGTAACCTGTTTTCTTCCTAACCAAAATGGGTGGGACAGTATTCTAGTGCAACGGGTCCTATCAGGGAGGCAGGAGGGGTGAGCTGGCTTTTCCCAAGGCTAAAACGTGAACTTTTTAAACCTGGGTATAACATGGTTTAGTTCAGCCTAGCCCACACAGGCAGAACCCAGCCTGGCCATGGAAAGTTGTGCTAGCATCTTCCAGCAAGAACCACACTCCAGACAGTTCTCTGGAGTGGTCCTGACTTAGCTTCCAAACTCTAGGTGGTCATGGACTGCAGGTTGGTATGGTATCAGCAGATAGGTGCTAGTCTGTCACTGGTGTATCCTCCTATCTCATGTGCTGTTTGCATATGTTTGTAATTACTTCCTTTTTCTGTCTAGGAGAGGGAGGAATTGATGGAGATGGGGACATCACCCGCCCAGAGAACATCACTGCATTCCGGAATTTTGTTTTGGACAACACTGATCGCAAGGGAGTGCACTTCTTAATGGCTGATGGGGTGTGTTTCTTTTTCTCCTTTGTAAAGAATGCTGAAAGCCTTTAGCTAGAGTCAGAGTACAGTGGGGCTGTGACCAGTTCTCTGTTTTAGTTGGTGTGGAATTTGGTCAGGCTTGCCAGCAAATCTCTGATCAGCGTCTGTTTATCCCAATATGTTCAAGCTGTTGTGGTTGTAAGTATCAGCAGTATCTCTAGTTAACCAGTGAATTTGCAGAGATGTTCACTGCATGCTTTGTTTCAGGGTTTCTCTGTGGAGGGTCAGGAGAACCTACAAGAAATCCTGAGCAAACAGCTGTTGCTTTGCCAGTTCCTAACAGGACTCTCGATTGTCCGGACAGGTATTTTTATTATTTTTTTAACTTTGTTAGTCTTCCCCTTCTTTTCCAAGGTGAAGGGCTTTGCAGATGGGTGCTATCAAATGTTGCTATCAGTGCCTGGAGTCAGTTCTGCTGTAACATTTAAGTTTTGTTGAATTCAGTAAGTGTGTTCCCATAGGTGTTCCTCATCAGTCTCCAGACAACCCTTGTTAGATTCAAGGCACCAGTTGGAAAATGCTAGCTCACAGTTTTCACTTGTTTGAACTACAAAACAATAATAGAGCACTCCTGTTGCAAAGAACACAGAAAGCCCACAACAGCGTAGACCGTGGCTTCCTATTTTATTTTAATACTGTGGATTTTTAATACTTTGGATGCCTATTTAAAATCTCTGGGTTTATCTTATAAGAAAGTTAGTTAGCTGTGATAGTCTGAAGTCAGGTAGAAGGCAGGGTAGATTTGCACCTTTTATAGGCTAAATCACAGATGTGTGTAGCATAAACTTTTGTAAGTAGAGGACACTGTAGCTCTATGTAGCTTCTGTGGCTGAGGCCTCCTGTATGTTAGGAATGGTTAGCATGAGGGCTGATCTTTCAGAACAGATCATTTTGCACTGAGCCGCCAGAGGATCAGGGCTAGAAACTTTCACAAAGTTACTGCTCACATTGTATCCCATGTTCAGAGCATTTGAGGCAGTGACCCTGGGAGCAGCTGAATGTTGGAGCAGGCTTGCTAAGCAGTGCAGCCTTCTTTGGTTTCTCCTAACCCAGCCTATCTACTGGGGTTTCTCCAGGCAGATTCTAAGCTCGACATT